GAAATATTGGCAGTCTTCTGCCTCGAATATGAAGGTCTGTCTCCTGTTTTGGGTTGGGAAAGAGGCCTTGATGGAGAGGTGGGAGACTCAGCCTCGAGCATTATGTGTTTACTTAATGCTTTTCTTCTTAGGATTTTATCTTTGCTTCATCCATTCATGCTCTTGTTTTATTCTCTGCAGAAGCTAAACCTTTAGGTCTTTGGCTAGGATGAGAGAAAGGCCCATTGCCTGGCTGAGTAGCAGGTGGAGGTTGGGTGATTTGATTGCTTCTTAAGCAGACCTTGTATCAATTCTTATTCTGGCACCCCACCTTTCACGTTCATGTAGGGAGGACAGCTTTGTTCTCAACTTTTACTTACTGCTAGCATGGGATTCTGCTTCCTTGAGCTTGATTAATCTTTTACCATCTTAAAACATTTTATAGCTTTTTGTTTTGTTTTATTGACAAATAAAGGGGCATTTATATACTATAAAACTAATGCTTTTATTTTATTTTCTTTTTTTAAAGATTTTATTTATTTATTGGAGAGAGCATGTGATTAGAGAGAATGTGCATGTGAGCGAGGAAAGGGGCAGAGGGAGAGGGAAAAAGTCTTAAGCGACTCCCTGCTGAGCTTGGAGCCAGGTGCAGGGCTCAGTCTCATGATCTCACCACCCTGACATCATGACCTGAGCCAAAATCAAGTGTTGGACGCTTGACCAACTGAGCCACCCAGGCACTCCTCCCTTCTTGCTTTTATCTTTCTTTGTATGCCAGTACATTTGAAAGCTTTAAACAGACTCAGAAGTAAGAACACTGCAGTAGTCTTACATTCATTAAAGAAATCAGCTTTTAATTTTCCCACACGGAAGCCACCAGTTCCTATTTGTTATTAGCAAGTTCTACCAGATGTTCCAGGAATTGATAATTGTATTCCTAATCATATTTTATTTCAAAGTATAAAAAAGGGTAAATAACAATTCATAAGATCTTTGTAATCTTTTATTTTTAAAAGGGCTCTCAGTCCTCATTATATACCATAAAATTCACCTGTTTTAAACGTATAATACAATGGTTTTTAGTGTACATACACATTTGTGCAGCTATCACCACAATCCAGTTTTATTTTTTTTCCACAATCCAGTTTTAGAACATTTCCATCACAAGAAAGATGCCTCATGTCTATTTTTACTCATTTCCGGTTTTCACCCCAGCCTGAGGCAGCTGCTGATCTGTGTTCTGTCTTAATATGTTTGTCTTTTCTGGACATTTCATATAAAATTCATATATTCTACATCTAGCTTATTTTATTCAGCATAATGTATTTGAGCTTTGTCCATTTTTTTTTTTTTAAGATTTCTTATTTATTTATTTGACAGAGAGAGACACAGCGAGAGAGGGAACACAAGCAGGGGGAGTGGGAGAGGGAGAAGCAGGCTTCCCCACGAGCAGGGAGCCCGATGGGGGGCTCGATCCCAGGACCCTGGGATTATTCCCTGAGCCGAAGGCAGACGCTTAATGACTGAGCCACTGAGGCGCCCGAGCTTTGTCCATGTTATAGCATATCTTTCATTCTTTTATTGCTGAGTGGTTAGTATTCTGTCATATGGATGTGTATCATGTTTTGTTTATCCATGAACTGTTTGATAAATATTTTGGATTATTTCCACTTTCTGGCTGTTATGAATGATGCTGCTGTGAACATTTGCATACAAGTTTTTGTGTGGGCATATGTCTTTATTTCTACCAAGGGGTAGGATTTCTAAATTGTGTGGTAATTTATATTTAACTTTTTAAGGAACTGTCAAACTTTCCATAGTGGCAATTTCATTTTATAGGCCAATATAATATTGGTATCTAAATCAAACAAGGTATAGTTTAATGTACAATGATGCAAAAACCCTAAAAATTGTATTAGGGAACCAAATATAGTAATGCTTAAAATAAATAATAAATCACATTGAAGTTAGTATTCTTTAGATGCAAAGGCTAGTTTAAAGTTAGAAAAATCAAGTAAGAGGCTCCTGGGTGGCTGTTGGTTAAGTGTCTGACTCTTGATTTTGGCTCAGGTTATGATCTCATGGGTTCTGAGATCAAGTCCTGCGATGGGCTCTGTGCTCAGTGGGGAGTCTGCTTGAAAATTCTCTCCCTCTGCCCCTTCCCTCACTCACACACACTCTCTATCTCTAAAATAAAACCGGGGCACCTGGATGGCTCAGTTGGCTAAGCGTCTGCCTTCTGCTCCAGTCATGGTCCCAGGGTCCTGGGATCGAGCCCCACGTCCATTGGGTTCCCTGCTCAGCGGGGAGTCTGCTTTTCTCTCTGCCCCTCCCCCTGCTCCTGCTCGCTCCCTCATAAATAAATAAAATCTTTAAAAATAAAATAAAGGGGCGCCTGGGTGGCTCAGTCATTAAGCATCTGCCTTAGGTTCAGGTCATGATCCCAGGATCCTGGGATCGAGCCCCACATCGGGCTCCCTGCTCAGTAGGAAGCCTGCTTCTCCCTCTCCCACTCCCCCTGCTTGTGTTCCCTCTCTCACTCTCTCTGTCAAATAAATAAATAAATAAATCTTTTCTTAAAAAAAGAAAAAAGAAAAGTCAAAAAATACAATCTACCCTGTTATCAGAATAGAGAAAAAAACCATACTATTATCTAAAATGTGGAAAAGGCATTTGATAAAATTTCATTTATGATTTAAAAATTCAGCAGTGATGGGGCACTGGGTGGACCAGTGAGTTACGAGTCTGCGTTTGGCTCAGGTCATGATCCCAGAGTCCTGGGATTGAGCCCCGCATTGGGCTCTCTGCTCAGCAGGGATCTGCTTGTCCCTCTCCCTCTGCCCCTCCTGCCCCCTGTGCGAGTTCTCTGTCTCTTTCTCTCTTTCAAATAATAAATAAAAAATCTTTAAAAAAATTCAGCAGAGACTAGTGGGGAACCTCCATATCCAATGAACAGTATCTACAAAAAAATCTGTAGTAGATGTTACACTTAGCGGTAGAACTTTTAAACTTTTAACATGAAAAGGTAAAGTAGTTAACATCCATTCAACATTTTACTAGAGGAGAAAGTGTATAATGTTTAGAAAGGAAGAAGCAAGTGTTCTTTGCAGATGTTAAGACTGTCTTTGTAGAAGACTCAAAATGATCTACAGATAAATTGTTAAGAGGACCATAAAGTTTCTGGATACTAAGTCAGTAAACAGAAATCATTTACATTTCTTTTCTCAGTAAGTTAGAAAATGTACTTTAAAAATCATATAATTCGGGGCACCTGGGTGGCTCAGTCAGTTAAGCATCTGCCTTCGGATTAGGTCCTGATCTTGGGGTCCTGGGATTGAGCCCCACGTTGGGTTCCCTCCTCAACGGGGAGCCTACTTCTCCCTCTTCCTCTGCCCCTCGGTCTTGCTTGTGCTCCCTCTCTTGCTCTGTCTCAAATGAATAAAATCTTAAAAAAAACATATAATTTACAAAAGCATGAAAAAATAAACCTGACAAAAGATGTATAAGATCTTTTGGAGAAAATTATGAAGCTTTAATGGAAAACATTACAGAGATCTTAAGTTGACTCTCAAAAGTTAGACATTGGGCAGTGAAGAATAACCCTTCTGTGGAGGAGGGACAGGTTAGGGTGCTTCTTGAAAATCTAGTTCATTCTCATTTTAGGATTATGTTTTCTTGGGTCTGGGTACCAACTTAATCAAAATGTTGCTATCATCTCCTGTTTTATTTTCTTACTGTCTTTGTTGGTTTGTGCAGTTTTTAAAGTTGGAAGAGAGATAGTTGGAATAATCCAGATGAGAGGTGGTTGAGGTTTAGGCCAGGGACCCAGGATTTCCAAGTGCCTTGGTTAGGACTGCCCCTTTCACAGATTTCACATCATGTTTGATTGGAGTGAAAGTGTGGTCCTAGAATTCTGTATATTCCTAGCTAGACCTTCACCCATCCCAATTTCCAACCACTCACCACTGTCTACCTTGAAACTATCATTAATAATCTTATTCATTATTTTTATTTTTCTTGTTTATAGTAGTCATCACAAGAGTCCTAGGATTTCTCCAGGGCTCTATAGAGGTGCCCATATCCTATCCCCTCAACAGTATGTCTGCCTTCATTGTTCTCTTTGTTTCTGTTGCTCATATCAACCTTTGACACATAATGTATTTATCTGTCCATCTTCCTTCGAATACAAACTCCATGAAGACAGGGTTTTGTCTGTTTTTATTGCATATTGCAAGCACTTAGAGCAATGCCTTATACACATATAGTTGCTCAACAAAAATGTGTTGAATAACGGATGGAAAACAGTGATACCAAAGGAGAATACTTGTATCCCAGATAAAGTTTTAAGATTGAGAATACTGAATTTGTTGGTGGATTAAGTGTGAGATCAGTGAGAGAGAGAGAGAGGTGACAGATGGCTCTTCCATCTTTGCCCTAAATAGGTGAATAACCATAGTTGCCATTCTTAGGAGGGGGAAACTGAACAAAGCAAATTATGGGGTAATATCAGTTATTTGAAGGTAACAAGTTTAAAAGTCACTGAATAGATGTTCTCAAAATTTCCTTCTTTTTTTGTGTGTGTGGGGTTGTTTTTATTTATTTATTTATTTTAAAGATTTTCTATTTGAGAAAGCATGCACCAGCGGGGGGAGCAGAGGGAGAGGGAGAAGCAGGCTCCCTGCTGAGCAGGGAGCCAGATGTGGGACTTGATCCCAGGACCCCAGGATCATGACCTGAGCCCAAGGCAGACAACAACTGAGCCACTCAGGCGCCCCTTTTTCCTTTTTGTTATTTTTAAACATTTTATTTATTTGAGAGAGAGAGTACAGAGGGAGAGCCAGACTCCCCGCTGAACAGGGATTCTGACGCAGGGCTCAATCCCAGGACCCCAAGATCAGGACCTGAGCTGAAGGCAGATGCTTAACTAACTGAGCAGCCCAGGCACCCCTTTCTAGTTGGTTTTAACATCGTATGATTTTTGGAGCCTGTACTCACCATATTTATTTGCAATGTGTTCTCAGGTCATGCGCATTGTGGATAATGTCCGTCCTGATCGACAGACAGTTATGTTTTCAGCTACCTTTCCCAGAGCTATGGAGGCTTTGGCTCGCAGAATCTTGAGTAAACCCATTGAAGTGCAGGTTGGAGGCAGGAGTGTGGTTTGCTCAGATGTGGAACAACAAGTGGTGGGTACAATCTTTCGGAAATCCTCAATTCCCTGGATGTTTAGGCAGTGTGTGATCCTTTGGGGATCATTGTGATGAAGGCAGGTAATTATCTAATCTTAAATAGGATACAGCTCAGCCATTAATATTTTATCTGATAAACTCAAGCTATTCCTTGGAACTGCGTGTTTAAAATGCTCTTTTTAGTTCCTCCCACCAGAAGAGGTGGGACTGGTGGATGGAAATATCACATACCTATTTTATTCTTTAGTTAATAGGATGTGAGGTCAAGAGGCAGAGAGTACTAGATGATGGTTTGCTCACATTTGCAAGCCCCTTCTCTCAGTTAGAAATTTTTTTTTGGTCTTACTGGTTTATCAGTTAAAATCAACATTTTCCTACCGATTCCTAAAGATACAGCAAGATGTTGTCATTTAGCCATTTGCCACAAATAAAATGAATATTTTTGCTTAAGAGATATATTTGCATTTTTATTCCATTGACTTGGTGCAATTTGGATTTTCAGATTGTTATTGAAGAAGAAAAGAAATTTTTGAAGTTACTTGAGCTTCTTGGCCATTATCAAGAATCGGGATCTGTCATTATATTTGTGGATAAGCAGGAACATGCTGATGGTCTTCTGAAAGATTTAATGAGAGCATCTTATCCTTGCATGTCTCTTCATGGAGGTAATGTTTAGTGAAGTATCTGTTGAATATTTAATTTGGCCAAGCGCTGCTGTCTTCTGAATGATATTTACTGTGTACTGTGATTTAGAGCCAGATTTTGTATTATCTATCTCAGTTTTTATTCACAACAACTCTATGAAGGGTAAGTATTATTATTGTTCCATCTTAGAGATAAAGAAAAGAAGACAACAGTACATTGGTTTGACCAAACCCTATAGCCATTAATCAGATAAGGAGAAATTGAACTTAAAATTTTGTTTCACGTTAAATCCTTTCCATTGTGCCATGCTACTTAGATGTTTTCATGATTCGCATTAGACCTTTAATTGAAAGAAACATTTTAAGGGACGCCTAGGTGGCTCAGTCGGTTAAGCGTCTGCCTTCGGCTCAGGTCATGATCCCAGGATCTTGGGATCGAGTCCCGCATCGGGCTCCCTGCTCCGC